ATATATATATATATATATATATATATATAGATAGATAAAGAAACAGAGATAAAGATATATATATATATATATATATATATATATATATAAAGAAAACCCTAAAGAAAGAGACAGAGGGAGAGAAAGAGAGACAAAGAAAGACAGATAAAGAGACAGATAAAAAGAAAAGAGAGAAGACAGACAAAGATACAGATAAAAGAAAAGAGAGTAGACATATAATGAGACAGATAAACATTTAAAACAAATAAATTAATTAATTAAAACCCCTCACTTGGTTTGGATCGTCTTCTCCTGCTGCTGCTGCTGCTGCTGCACAGTTCGACGTAGCAAAGTCTAAAGCAAGGGGCCCTAACCCTAAACGCGAAGCTCCTTTTAACATTAATTTCTTTTGTCTGCGGATGTCTTCAACCTGTTTGAGATAAAGTTAAAGAAGAATAAAGAAGAATAAATAAATATTTACTGACAAAAAGAAGAAAAAAAAGATTTCAAGATATATACTTTATGCTAAATTTATTTATGCAATTAACGTCATCCATACATTCAAGACATGTGCTGTACATATACACCCTAAACCCTAAACCCTAAAACCCTAAACCCTAAACCCTTACCTTCGTCTTTGAGTACTTTGCATCAAGGATATCCGCCAACGAGGGTTCATCTTCGCCTGCTGCTGCTGCTGCAGCTGCAGCAGCTGCTGCTGTTGCTGCTGGAGAATCGTCTTCGTATTCATCTGCTGCTGCTGCTGCTTCATGAATTGCAGGCTCTGCAGCAAATTGAACCCTGCGCCGCCTTGCGAGGCCCTCGGGGGCCCCCTGGGGGCCCCCCTGAGCATCTGGAGGGGGTACCTCTCTTTTGCTGCCCTGCATACTTTGTGTGCGTTCAGGGTTTAGGGTTTAGGGTTTAGGGTTTAGGGTTTAGGGTTTGCTGCAGACTCTGCGGTTTTAGCGATGTTTACGGAGCTCCGAGTGTTGCAGCAGTCATTTGAAATTAGAGAAGAAAAAAAGAGAGAAAAATAAACAAATAAATATATTAAAATGAATAAAGAAAAGAAAAAAACAAAGGGAAGAGAGAGAAGAAGAAAAACTTGCGGTGTCTGTACACCTCAGAGCGTAGCGATAGAACCTAAGATATAATTTTAGATATAAATAGAGAAAAACAGCAATTAATTTTGAGAAATAAAAAAATAATAATTTATTTTTTCCTTAACAAATCAAATAACCCTTAAAATGTATGCATGCATGCAGTCAAGCTTCCAGGGGCGTGCAGCAGCAGCAGCAGCAGCAGCAGCTGCTGCTGCTGCTGCTGCTGCTGCTAGTGGATATATTTTTCTCGGTTAAGAAGAATTTTTGTTTTATTTAATTTGTTTATTTATTTGTTTATTCCTCTGTCTTTTTTGTTTTTAATTCAAGTGAATAACCCACCGCTCAACCCTCAACAGGCGCAAGCAGCGTTTGTGCTGCTGCTGCTGCTGCTGCTGCTGCTATGCCTGCAGCGCGTGCGTAGAGGGTTAGGAGTTTCGGGTGTATATACACCTCAATCTGCAGTAGATTTAAAGACGAGACTTTTTGCAGCAATCGACAGAACATGGGAGGAAAAGAAACAGAAGAATGCTCGGAGGGGGTACCCTGCGAAGAGCAGCAGCAGCAGCAGCAAAAGCTGCAGCAGCAGCAAGAACAGCAGCAGCAGCAGCTAGAACGACAGCAGGGTCAGCAGAGCGAGGAAGAAGAATCAGAAGAGGGTAGCGACAACCCATCTGATGCTGCGGGAGCAGCAACCGCGACTGCAGCAGCAGCAGCAACAGCAGCAGCAGAAACAGAGCATGCGCCTGCTTCAGGTGAGGCACCGGCCTCAGCAGCAGCAGCAGCAGAATCACCAGCCGCCGAAGCAGCAGCAGCAGGACAATCACCAGCAACAGGAGCAGCAGCAGAAGCAACAACAAAAGCTGCAGCAGCAGGTGCAGCAAAATCACCAGCAGCAAAAACGAAGCAGCGCAAAGTTTCAAGGAAGCAAAGAGGGCCCCCAGCAGTTCGTCAGGTAGCTCCTCCTCCTCCTCCCCCTCCTCCTGCTGCTGCTGCTGCTGTTTTTTATCCTCCTCCATTTGTACCGCCTCCGCCTCCTGCTGCTGCTGCTGCTGCTGCTGCTGCTGCTGCTGGCGTGCCTCCTCCACCCCCTCCGCACATCGCAGCAGCGGCTGCAGCAGCAGCAGCAACAATTGCTGTTGCAGCAACAGCAACGCCGCCACCTCCTCCTTTCCCTGCTGTTAGGCCTCCCCCTCCGCCTCACGTTGCTACTGCTGCTGCAGCTACCAGCCTGCAGCAGCAGCAGCAGCAGCAGCAGCAGGGGAGTGAGGGTTCAGATCCGCTGCGTGAGTTGGCGTACTTTACGCTGCTGCAGCAGCAGCTGCAGCAGGGGCAGCAGGGTGGCTCTGCTGCTGCTTCACCTGCTGCTGCAGCTGCAGGTGAAGCAGCAGCAGGAGGAGAAGACGCGCAGCTGCTGCAGCAGCTAGAGTTTTGTAAAGATTACGAAGACTGCAAGAACCTCTGTTCGTCAATTTTGTCGAGGCCCTTCACTTCTCCTCGTGTTGTTGCTGCTGCTGCTCTTCGTCTCGCTATCTGTGGCAGCAGGGAGTTTAAGCAGCAGCTGCAGCAGCAGCAGCAGCACAAACAACTTCAAAAAGCTTCAAAGACACCAACGTCTATCACTGCAAATACGGATGTCCCCTTCTTGGATTATCAATTCGATGATCGGTGAGGGTTTAGGGTTTAGGGTTTAGGGTTTAGGGTTTAGGGTTTAGGGTTTGCAGGGATGTTTTACGGAAACGCCCGCAAGTTGCATCTGGGGTATGCTGTTCATTTCTGAGGGTTTAGGGTTTAGGGTATATATGGAGGTGATTTTCGTCATTATTAGGGTTTAGGGTCTAGGGTTTGAGTAAGGGTTTAGGGTTCAAGTTTTTGGATCTAGGGTTTAGGGTTTAGGGTTTAGGGTTAGTCTCATTGTGTTAGGGCGTCGTTATGAGGTTGTTTCTTTTCTGAGGGTTTAGGGTTTAGGGTTTAGGGTTTAGGGTCCTTATCATGGCGTTACAGCGTTGTTATCCTTGTGGTTTGTGTGGGTTTAGGGTTTAGGGTTAGGGTTTAGGGTTTAGGGTTTAGGGTTTGTGGTTTGTGGTTTGTAGGTTTGGAGATTTTTTGCAGCGCATGCGTTTGGTGCTGCAGCCGCAGCTGAAGCAGCTAGAGCAGCAGCAGCAGCAGCAACTAAGGGTTTGTGAAGCAGATATAGGTGCAGAGTACTTGACAGATTTGTTAGGTGCATGCGCCTTGTCTTCTGTAATTAGAATGGAGAAGGTTAGAGTATTAGGGGGTTGTTTGCTAGGGTTTCTGCAAACCCTAAACCCTAAAACCCTTGTTAAAACCCTAAGCAACTATACTAGATGCATGCAAGCTGAAGCAGATAGTAAAGGCGGAATTAATATTACAACTGAAGATAGACATTTTACACGTTGTATTGTGCAGCAGCTGCTGAGCTGTACAGATAACTCAGCTCTTGCTGCGGGTATGAACAATAGAGAAACCCTCAAAACCCTAAACCCTAATGATATTACTCTTCTATTAAAAGCTTGTGATAGACTTTCTATTGAAGCACCAGAGCTGCTTCAACATATTGGGGTTATTTCGCTTAAAAAACAAAACAACTTCACCCCAGACGCATGGGCCACCGTCGTCTCAGGTAAACCCTAAACCCTAAACCCTAGAAACCCTAAACCCTACAAACCCTAAACCCGAGAAACTCTAAACCCTAAGCTATAGAAACAACGCTTTTTCAATCCTAAACCCTAGAAATGCTAAACCCTTAAAGCGCTTTTTAAAGCTTAAAACCCTCAGCCGTTTCAGCTAAACCCTAAACCCTAAATGCTCCTAAACTCCTAAACCCTAAAACCCTAAACCCTAAACCCCAGTAGGCTTACATCCGAAACCCTAATCCGCATAAGCCCTAAACCCTAACCCGCATAAACCCTAAACACTAACCTGCATAAACCATAAACCCTCATGCAGTCGAAGGCGTTGCTAGACCCGAAACCCTTTAGCTAAACCCTAAACCTTAATGAGAAGATCTAACCGAAACCCTAAACCCTAGATCCTAACAACTTCATAAAACCCTAAACCGCACGAATGCAAATCTAGGCTTTAAACTCAATTTTTTGTTGTTGGGAGGAGAAGTGATGTGGTTCCCGGAAGTGTGGACTGTGGGGTTTAAAGTTTAAGGGTTTAGGGTTTAGGGTTTAGGGTTTATGTTTGCAGTGTTCTCTCGTATGGGAATACCTTTGCGAGGCGACTGCACAAAGCAGAAGAGGCCGACGAACTCCCGAGACTGGAGCAGACCGCCTCCACCAAAAAAGCCCATACCCATCAGTCAGTGCTAGCTAGCTAGCTAGCTAGCTATTTGGCTAGCTAGCTATTTGGCTAGCTGGCTATGCGGCTAGCTAGCTAGCTGGATGGCCAGCTAGTTAGCTGGATGGCTAGCTAGCTAGCTACCGAGCGAGCTAGCTGGCTAGCTAACTGCCCAGCTAGCCAGATGGCTGTAGGTAGAGCTAGCTGGGTGGCCAGTTAGGTGGCTAGCTAGCGAGCTAGCTAGATGCCTAGCTAGCTAGCTGGCTAGCGAGCGGGAGGGCTCCCGTAGCCTCGTGGAGCCTTTGTTAGCTGCTGAACAGAGGCCACACTGCGGGTGCCTTATGTAGGTTTTGTAGCTAGCTAGCTAGATAGCTAGCTAGCTAATTGGCTAGCTAGCTAGCTAGCTAGCCAGCCAACTTTGGGGGTTCTGACTGTCGATTGTTTACTCTTCTTTGGAGTGGATAGGCTATGGAGTAGGGTGGCCACGCATGCGTATGTGAGTGTACGTAGTAGCTAGCTAGCTAGCTAGCTAAAGCTATACAGCTAGCTAGCCAGATAGCTAGATAGCTAGCTACAGATCTGTAGGGAGAGGGTTGGTGCGCTGCAGTTGCTGAGAGGCTCAGGGAAAGGCCTCTGCAGCTGTTGGTTTGGATAACCACGACTGTGGCTCTTAGGGTTTAGGGTTTAGGGTTTAGGGTTTAGGGTTTAGGGTTTAGGGGGAGTTGAGTGCGCTGCGTGGAAGTGTTTGATAGGTCTTGCTAGGTAGGTAGACGAACGAGGTTAAGTCTCATTTCGAGGGTAGAGTTTAGAGTTTAGAGTTTAGAGCTTAGGGTTTAGGGTTTAGGGTTTAGGGTTTGAGCCACTGCGAGTCTTGAGTTACTCATAAGATTCATCTTCGGATGAGTCTACAGGTGCTTCACTCTCTCTCTCTCTCTCTCTTCTTTCTTCATCTTCATTATCTTCATCATCTTCATCTTCATCTACTCCGGACTTGAGAGCTTCTTCATAAGTTTTATTTATTTGGTCTTCTGCTGCATTTCGCCTGTGCAATTAAACGCAACAGCAGCAACAGCAATATCAGCTGCAGCAGCACTTGCTGCAGCTGCAGCAGCAGCAGCAGAACTTCCTGCAGCAGCAGCAGCAGCAGTAGGACTTCCTGCAGTAGCAGCAGCACTTGCAGCAAACTCGTGCAATGCCTAATTAAAAAAGTAATTCCAGCCTAAATCTAGGGTTTAGGGTTTAGGGTTTAGGGTTTAGGGTTTACATATTGGAACGGACGAAGTATTATAAAACCCCAGCCATGATGCCTAATAAAGTAATTCTTGCCTAAATCTAGGGTTTAGGGTTTAGGGTTTAGGGTTTAGGGTTTAGGGTTTAGGGTTTACATATTGGAGCGGACGAAGTATAAAGCCCCAGCAATGCCTAATAAAGTAATTCCTGCTCCTCCTAAAAGAACTGCATTCATCATTGTCCCTTGTTCTTCTTTGCCTGTAGACTCTGATTTTTCTGAACAATGTTTAAACAAACCAGCGCATGCAACACCGTAAATATATATATATATATATATATATATATTTACATGCATATTATATATATGTATAAATACATATATATATATATATATGTATATATGTGGATGTATATACATATTTACGTATATATAGGAATATGTACATGTAAATAAATAGATTATTAATAAATATACAAATATATAAATATATATATATATATATATATATTTATCTACATATATGTTTTTATATATGTATAAATATATTAATATATATATATATATATATATATATTTATATTTATATATGTTTTTATAGATATATAAATAATTGTTTTAGGGTTTACCTTCTTCATGAGTTTCAGCAGCGAGGGTTTGGAGGAAATGTTTTTGTGTTCTGCATGCAAGTTGAGGGTTTGTTCGGGTCCTGGCGAACTGTTCAATTAAATAATCTTCATATGCATTTGCTGCTTCTGAAGTTAGTTTATCGTTTTGTTCTCGTGTCTCTGTAGATATATATTTATTGCTGCTGAGGTGTATAGGCACTGAGCTTGCATTTAAAGGCTCTCCTTCTTCAGAAAGTAGTTGCACATCCAGCTGAGCTCTGTATCCATACACCATAACTAAACCCTAAACCCTAAACCCTATACCCTAGACCCTAAACCCTACACGGTTATCCCGCCCTCAGCCCCCTCAGCAACAGATAAAACCCTTAACAAGCATGCGTACTACGTAGCAAAGCATGGTTTAGACATTATCAGGATTTAGGGTTTAGGGTTTAGGGTTTAGGGTTTAGGGTTTACTTGAACTCTCCAGACAAGAAAGGCTGTACATACACCGTAACAACGCGCGTTCCTCCTGGTGGGAGAGAAAAGTGTTTATCTTTGCAGTCAATCTGCACCCACATGCCTCCTAACTGTGCTACCTAAACAAATCCGCAAAAATAAAATAAAAATAATTTATATTATATATATATGTCTATAAATCTATGTATGTATGTATGTATATATATAATATATATATAATATATAATTATAAACATTTCGGTGATTGTACAGTTAAACAAAAGCAGCAGCTTTACAGTCACAAACTTATTGTCATAAAAGGCAGCAAAACTGCAACAGCAGCAGCAGCAGCAGCAGCAGCACCTGCTGCTGCTGCTGCTGCTGCTGCTGCACAGAAGCAACAGAAACAGACTCGCGGCAGAGGCATAGCAGCGGCAATGCACCAACAGCAGCAAAACAGCAGCAGCAACAACAGCAGCAGCAACAACATCAACAGCAGCAATAGCAGCAGCAGAACAGCAGCAGCAGCACAGCAGCAGCAGCAGCAGCAGCAGCAATTTACCTGGATGGCAGCTTCTGCATCGACTTGCGCTCCCCACTCAACTTTGTCTTTCAGTGTTTCTGCTGCTGCAGCAGAAACCCTCAGTATCTCCTTCACTTCTGCTGCTGTTGTGCTGCTGCCCTCAGCAGCGAACCAACTGTACACCAGAGCAGCAGCGCCTGCAGCAGCAGCAGCAGCAGCAACAGCAACAGCAACAACAGCATGCTTATACTCCTACCAGCTCCATCTTCAGAAGAGAGCGTCTAGGGTTTAGGGTTCAGGGTTTACGGGTTAGGGTTTAGCTGTACCCAGCTAGCTACGCAGCTAGCTACCCAGCTAGCTACCCAGCTAGCTATCTAGCTAGCTATTACCCAAGCTGCCCACCTAACAAACCAGCTAGCTATTTGGCTAGCTGGCTACCTAGATAAATAGCTAGCTATTCCGCTAGCTATCTAGCTAGCTACCTATTCCGTTAGCTAGCAAGCTAGCTACCTAATCAGCTAGCTATCCAGCTAGCTAGCTATTTCGCTAGCTATCTAGCTAGCTAGCTAGCTAGCTAGCTAGCTATCTCCAGACTAAGACGCACCCGAGACAAATGCTGCTGCAGCAGAGGTGGTGGATCTGTAAGTATAACCATCTGGAGAATCAGTAGAGAAAATTTTGTCTCCAGGAGCTGCGAGGTGTACAGGCAGCCCGTAGTTGCTGAAGTCTGCAAGCGAACCGCTAGGAGCAGCAGCAGCCACGCTGCAGCAAACACAGCAGCAGCAAAGCAGCAGCAGCAAAACATGAAGCATATACAGGAAGAAGAAGAAGCACTAACAGCATTACAGCAACAGCAGCAGCAGCAGAAGCAACACTAAAACCACCAGCATCCTAACAGAACCAGCAGCAGGATCAGCAGCAGCAGAAACAGCAGCAGGATCAGCAGGACCAGCAGCAGCAGCAGCAGCAGCAGCAGCAGCAGGAGGCTGCACGATTGTATTTCTGTTTCTGACTTGATAACGTTTGGGATATCGAAGGATGCAGGGTATCTGGGGTGTATACTGAGGTCTTCTGCATCATTTCCTGCTGCATTTATAATAAGCGTTCCTCTCCCTCCATTTGCTTTCGCAGCAAAAGACAACGCTCGCAGTAGAGCTTTGCTGCTGCTGCTGCTGCTGAAAGCATTCAGCAGCACTGACGCACCCTGTGCTATACTAACATCTATAGCTTTCAATGCTGAAGCTGTAGACCCCTGCAAACCAACAAACAATACCCAAACATATTTCAGGTGTATATGCAGCTCCAGGTGTATATGCATATGTTGCTCTAACCCTCTTAGGGTGTACAGACAGATGCTGCTTATATATATATATATATATATATATATACAT